GATGGGTCAAAGTTAAACGAAGAAGTAGGATGCGCATTCTTTTGCACTTCCTCTCAGAACAAGAAACAACAGGAATGGAGGGAAAGGACACCTAAGGAACAACAACAGCGTTTTCCTAAGCTGAGCTTTCAGCCATAAAACACACGCTATTCTGTGGTCTCATCAAAAGCATCTAACATATGTTACCATCTACAGTGATAGCCAAGCGGCAATTAAAGCTGTCGATGATGCAAGAAACAAATCATCAATAGTGCAAGATATCTACGATTTATTATCACACAGCGCAAGAGAACATCTATAAAAAAATAAAGTGGGTAAAAGCGCATGCTGGACAAGCCCAAAATGAAAGGGCAGATGCGCTTGCTAAAAATGCAGCTCAAGATCCATCTCTACCTCCAATCAATGTCCCATTCCCTAAATCGTATGTGAAACATATGTTGAAAAAAATTACATTAAAAAAATGGCAAACTGAATGGGAAAATGCAGAAGTAGGTAGAAGGCTTTTCAACTTCTACAAGAAACCCACATATGATCCAATCTCTTATATTTTCTTCATCAACATATTCTTATCTGGACATAGTCCTTTCCCCACGTACTACTTTGCACGAAATTTGAGCGATTCAGACAAGTGCGTATGTGGGGAAAAGGGAGACCAAGAACACTATGTTTTCAAGTGCCAGCTCACAAAAGAGCTACACTGCAAAGGAAGGTCACAAATTACGCCTGAGTACATTAAATGCATGCTAACGATACCTCAATTACAACAAAAGGTTTCCTTGATTATGAAGAAACTTTTTGCATATAAAAGAGAAGACATATGTCAAGATGCTATCACATCTGTATAAATACCTCTTATTCTACAACTTGCAAAAATAATGCAAGATTTCAGAAATATTGCAAGTGTCTGAAACAGCATAATATGGTATATAAAACAGTTTTTATAAAATAGTTACATTTAAGAATTTGGACTGTATTAATGTAATAATTAAATCATTAATTAAAAATAATATAAATAATATACGACTCTATTAGATATATTAGTGTAAATGTAAGTATTATGTGATTTTCTAATGTATATTTTCTGTATTTATGATACATTAATTTACAAAAATAATAATGTAAGATTTCAGTGCTGATGCATTTGTGTGTAACAAGTTAAAAAAAAAATGAAAGGAAATGTATTAATAAGAGAATTCACCTTAGTAATTCAACTAAGTATGATAAAGGTGCACAAAAAAAAAAAAAAAAAAAAAAAAAAAAAAAAAGAAATCCTTCAATTAGCTCCTAGCTCCTTAAAATGATGTTTTATTTAATTCGATGTAAACTAGATATACTAATGTAAATATATTGTTTGTATGAAGTACAATGTATAATGAAAGTTTGTATGTATGTTCGAAGTAATTATGTTATTTCAATCTGCCATAGATTATAATGTGAAATCTGCGTGTCTATAGATCATTGATATTATCCGTTTAGCTCTGCGTTTTAGATTTTAATCTTTGAGGGCAAGATAAAAAAGGTGATTAAAAACTTTTTAAACTTTTTATCCTTCCTTATTATGAAAGTTTTATAAAAAAGATAGGAATATTATTTACTTTCTTCGTCTTTTGCCGACTTCTGCTTCTTTAATTCTTTAATCGGAGTGTTTGTGGAAAGACTGTTTTGTTATAATTTTTACATTTCACCGCTGCTAGTTTTGATAAGTATGAAATGAAATGTTTACGGTAACGAATTTTGTTTGAATCTTTCAAAAGTTATCAACGATATAAAGCTTAATATTGAAATTTTCTGTTGTAACTCACTTTTCGAAAGAACCCTTTACTTAAATGCCTTTATTTAAATTTGCCCAATTAACATGTGTTTCAGAAATTATTACCGAAGGTATTATCTAGATATGCTCTATATTTGAAAACTGCATTCAAAAATCCATATAATCAGTTTCATTCTACACATTTCCATCAAAATGAAAAATTGCAGAAAACTTTATTCAATTGTTCTTATACTTCTGTTACTGGTAAATAAATGTCTGTGTATTTTTTTCCTCCTCAACCTCCTATCATTCCTCGTTTCCTAGTTTGCGACTAGGATTAGCTGTAATGTCATTAATTGGAATTACTGGTATTTTTACAATGATGAAACTATAGATAGATGTTAATTGCTTAGGGTTGTTTGTGGATCCGTTTTCACTTTTAGCATTTTGCCTAGAGACTAGCCTAAATTATTTTTAGCTCTTTCATTAGTTTTGCCTATAATTAAAATAATTTTAATTCATTACTTTAAAAGTTAATTCATTACTTTGATAATTCTTTTAAACATTTACAAATACTTGTTACTTTTAACTCATTTATTGATTACTTTGATTACTCGAGGTATCTGCTTAAGAAGAGGGGTGCATGCGGGGGTAACGTTTTAAGGGAATTTTTCTCATATTCAAATTAATCATGGTAAAAATAACAAAAAATTGCGTACAGATCGCTCCTTTGCAGTTTATATAAATAGCGTGTTCATAATAATACACATCAATAAATAGAGTAATAAGAAAAAAAAAAAAAAAGAACTGCGATCTGGAATTTTAAGATTCTAGCCTAGTACCACAAAAAGCCTATCGTTCAAATATCAAAAAATGAAAAAAATATCTTCAAAAATTAAGAAAAATTATAAAATTAAAAAGAAATTACAATTTCATCTTGGTAGGCAGATTGAGGTTTGACACCTAATGTTAACTAAAATCTTAACTAAGTTAAGCCATTACGATGTTTTAGGTATTAGTGCTCCCCCAAAAATAGAGACATAATATATAAAATTACCTATACGATAATACAAAGCTAAATATTAGAAAAATGTTTTTTAACTTTCGTCGTGAATTAACACTACGTTGAACTTGTGCACATTTTTAATAAAGAAAAGATTTAGTTATATAAAAAACAGCTATGCATTAATTTCACTGAATATCCTGCGCAATTTTTCAAAATATAATATGGGTTCTCTTTTTAGTCTACGCTACATGAAAATGATAAAAGTATTGCAGTTCCAATAGGTCAATTTCGGAAAAAAAAAAGAACTCAAAGTTTTCTCAGATTTTTGTATTAGGACCAAACAGGCGTTTTTTTTTTTTTTTTTTTTTTTTTTTTTTTTTTTTTTTTTTTTTTCATTTACAGGCACATACACGTTTCGAAAACATTTGGAATAACGTCACATTGAGGTAAGAATATTTAAAAACAGCATATCTCTAGAATTTCTGTTAGACAGTCTGTTGCTCTGGAGATAAAAATGTTTTATTCCGTACAGTGTTGCCACTGCTCGCTTTGAAATCGTCGAGTTTTTTAATCAAAAATTCGTTAAGATTTTACAAAATTTTAAATACGCAAAAACTATATTTAAAAGCATCATATCTTTAGAATTTCCGATAGACAGTCTCATGCACTGTAGATAAAAATGTTTTTATTTTTCCGTACCGTGTTCTCGCTTTGAAATTGCTGAGGTTTTAAATCGAAAATTCGCAATATGAAAATATGATAATTCGCAATATGCAATATGAAAATTCGCAATATGAAAATATTCGCAATATGAAAATATTCGCAATTTTGCAAAATATGAAATAGATAATAAAATAAATTCTTAATTCAAAGTTCAGGCTTCCAAGCGCTCATGTTCGGATGGAAGATTACGTTATTCAAAATTTGATGGCTCTAGGTACCGTCGTGTCTTCACCATGCGAGAAATGTACGTACAGTCATGCAGATTCTTGATAATTTAATTTCGTTAAATATAATACAAAAATATTTGGTGCAACAATTTAAAAATGTGATTCATCGCTCATAGAAATGCGTTCATGAAACGAAAAGGCACACAAAAAACGCAAGAAAAGGTCGTTTTCAGATTAATAGCCCACCTGTACTACAGCCGCTTTGGGTTAAAAAGTATTATTATAAGCGATTTCAAGCTGTTGATATCTCATCTATACAAGCTGTTCGAATTAAGAGGAAAAAACTATTTAAATATTACTATTATTATGATTTGAAAAAAAGTTTTGTATATGATATATGATACTGCACTTTCGGGTTTTGAAATCAGAAATGTCGTTACGTCATAACATTAATGAACAAAATAGCACACACCAGATTCATTACTATTCTAAGCAATGTTTCTTAAAATCATTAACACTATGTCAAACCTCTTAATCCTATAATCAGGTAATTTGATGTTATTTCGAAAACAATTCTTAAGAATAAAAAATAACTTATAACTGTTATTAAAGAAACTTAAAACTGTTATTCTAAAGCCACTTTTTCAAAACATTTGTACAGTTTTGTATGTGTCTTCATAGAAAGACAGTATTACAAAATTGCTCCTGTAATTGCTCGTCTTCTTTAATAAAACTTTTGTTTCGAAATTATCAACTAAACATTTTCCCTTCTAGTTTAAAATAAAACTAAAAGAGATACATATGTCTACTGCTTACTGCTTTCTTAATTTAACTAATCAGATCAAAACCTTTTCCGTAACCTGAACTTTTAGATTAAATTTTTAGTTGATTTATTAAATAATAATGAGAAGCTATATTATTTATTGTCGTAGTTTCATATATATCATTCTCTTATAAAGATTTCTAACTAATCTATATATATATATATATATCGGATGATATAAATAAATCTTTTTAACACATTTTATTAGCCCAAAGGGCGTTAGCCCAGAAGGGTTATTAATTTCTTCAAGTGCGAAGAATAGTATATTTAATAAATAAAGTTAACACACAAAACGTTCAAAAACGCCCCCTTGAGCGTAATATAAAATTTGAAAGATTTAAGATTTTTTTATTTATATATATTTTTTATTTTTTAGAAATATGAACTTTATCACATTATTTACGAAATTATTTGCTTTCATTATTCATTTCATTATAATTTTGCACATTATAATTATTTGCTTTCCGTAGAGCATTTCTAGTAAAATTATGAATCGTGAAAATATTTCAGAAATAAAGAGAAAGTTCTTACTGCACCTGACCCTTTAATTGTTCTCTTTTAAAGACGTCGTTGCTCTGCAAGCCTAAGCCAATAATTTCATTCCAGGAGTTGCTAGTTGTCAAAATCGTTCCTCTTTCCAAGGTGTATTTTAAAGAAGTGAAAGAGTCGTGCTGTAATAAAACGGCAATTTTATTTTACCGATTGTCATTCTACCAGCATTTATGATTTTAGCTACACACATATGATAACACAGAAATGTGCTTTTCCCTAAAGAAATATTTTATAAGAGGAAATGTTCGAGGCCATTCGTGCCAGAATGACGTATTTTGAGATAAATTCAATTGACTGCAATTACTTGAAAAACGAAAGCGGTGAAGGAAATTTTGTGTATTGGGTAGACTCTACGAAATATATAGAATATTTTTTAACTTTTATATTGTCAGCGAGAAAAAAGGTGTTATATAAATGTCTAGAGTTAATGTTCTTGGGATACGATATTCTTCTAAATTAAAACTAATACTGAAATGTAAGTGTTAGAATTTGATTTCAAATTATAAATTGTTTTCACGTAATACTTATATTCGTGTTTTAATTTGAATATACACACATTTTCCGAATTTCAGTTCACTTTATAAAATAAACAATAGTAAAAGTAGTAGTAAAAAAGAAGCAAGTGGTAAAGATAAACCGAAGCGGAATTGACGCTTTGAGTAAATTTAATTTGCTTGTCTAAATTGATGGGATAACGCAACTCCTTCAAAGAGGTTATATCGTGACATCTTATTTAAGTTTTATTAAAGATTTAAGTTGATTCTTTATTTTATGCCTCGCAGTCTTTCAGTCTAGTAATCTTTTAGTTCAGAGCTTTGTACATATTCTATGGCAAATGGCGCTGTAAACTCAAACTTCGAATTGAACAAAATTAAAACATAAGCATTTTACAGCTTGTAAAAGAGATTTAACATCAGAAAGTCAAGGTATAAAAATAGCCAGTTATGATCTAAAATATGCAAAGCTGAAACAGAATTACATATTATTAAGCACAGTTTCTAATGCCAGATTCTAAATCTGAATGAATATAGTCTCAGAAATGATATTTCTAGTGAAACGCTCTGTATACTGCACAGGCAAAAATAGCAATCCAGCAGTTTTTTCGTGAACTGGAAAAAGTGGCACAGCTAAGTCGATTCTTGAAAAGTAGAAGTCATCTATCGATTCTTTCAAAATCCTTTGAAGTCAGTACTGTGAAAGAGGTGGGATAGGAACTTCTAAGAGCTTCTGACTGTTTTCTGCTTCAAACAAAGCATTTTCATGAAACTGTAATGTCTGATACCTCCTTTCCCCTGGTATTCGAGAGAAACGTTTGTACAACTCAATCTGGCGATTGATTGCCGCAGGGGAGAGTCAGTTAGGGTTTGGACAGCGTCGGAGGTGACTGCACGATTATCGCAGGCGTGCACTCACCGTATATCTTAATAGGACTACACGATAATATGCAGGCATGTACTCTCCAATTGATTAATGTTAATCCAATCTTTAATTAATGTTAATCTTATGTAAATATTTTGTAACCTAATTAATACCTCTTATATATTATATATATATATAAAATAATGTGTGAGAAGAAAGAAGTCCCATTATTTGATTAACACCACGGATGACAGCAAACTATAGAACCTTTCAAAATCAATCATCACAGAAACCTACATCTTTTCTACGCCTTAAAACACAAATCTTTTCGAAGAATAGTAAAAAGTGAGAGTTTCAGCATGCTTATGAAATAGGATTTTGTTTTCTATCATTCTTTCCAGTGAAGGATATTTATGATTAAGAAAGACTTGAGACGTACACTGCGGGGAAATAAAGCGACAGTTTTATAATATCGCCCGTTCTACTAGGCCGATTGATGAATTTCAGACTGCGTTTTTCATGTCCCGAAAGCGCGACTTAGAATATAGTATTGTTCTTATATAGGTATTTTGACACAAAATCGGACTTTTTCTGAAATGACATGCCAATTTTTTCCATATTTTGATTATATGACTCAAATTATGCCTAAACATTACGTTTTGTAAAATTTGATGCGAAATTTACGAAGAAATTCAAAAATTATTTTGGCGCATTTTTTTTTTCAGTTCGCGCAAAGAATAATTCACTTGGCGAACTTCTTAAATTTATGGCAACCTGTTTTCCTTTCCTTTTTACTTCCCTGCACGAAGTAAAAAGGAAGTATTGTAATCGCGAAAAGTTTTAGGCAGCATATTTCAAAGAAAATATCCATTTTGACGGCTATCGAACGCAATTTAACGATGATTTTGCGAGACATCTATACGTAAGGACAGAATAAAAGACTCCTTTCCTCCAAAAAATTATAAAACTGCTGTAAAATTAATTCTGAAGAGAATTTTTCTTGGTGTCTGTACATATGTATGTATCTCGCATAACTCAAAAACAAGTAGCCTCAGAACGTTGAAATTTTGTATATAGGACTGCTATAAAATGTAGATGTGCACCTCGTATTTTGGTTGCAATCGGCCGCACCAAACGTATATAAATACATTTATATACGTATTCACTCTGTTACCCGGCTCAGTGATCTCAATTTCTTTACTCTTACATGTTTGTAAATTGTGCATTTTTGCTTTAAAAATGATTGAATTATGTTGTTCCTATCCTCCGGTTAAGATTTTTATGCCTTTAAGAAAACTGCAAGCAATATTTGTAGAATTATCAGCTATTTAAAAGTTGTTTAAGTGCGCTTAAGCCTAATATTTAAATAACATGGCGGACATGTTTGTTTACATTTGAAACAGCAGAATAGTTTTGCTGCCAATCTAGAGAGACTAAGCTTCGCGGTGTCAGCCGATAACATCGCGGCAAAAACATCGTGGATAAAAACGTCGCTGAGATAACAATGCAAGGCGAAAAAGTCGTGCTACAAAATGTCGTGGAAGAAAACATCGCAAAGAAAAAACATCGCAGTTCTAAAACATCGTGGTACAAAACATCGTCGAAAATAAAGCGGTTCAAATTCGCAATTTAAAAACATCGTCGTCGAAAATATCGTGGTAAAAAATAAAGTATCTACAAATCATCGCATGACGATAACATCGCAGACATGCTTTTTTCAGGTTTTAATAACTGTAAATGGATATTCCCATAATGATTTGTGAGCGCAAGATGAAAAGAAGGATAATTTTTACTTTCACGTTTTTTTTTATTATAAATTTTTGCTGAAAAAGTAAGAAGGAAACTTCAGCATGGAAAATTAAATGCAACTTATAGATTATACATTTCATGAAAAATTACCAGTAAAAACTTTATAAAAATGATTTATTAATGGCCTTTGTTAGTTAAATATGTCGGTTTAAAATTATATTAAGAGCTTGCTATATGTTGCATTAATTTCTATGCTTAAGTTTCCTTCTGATTTTCTCAGCAAAAATTTATTAGTTAATAAAAAATATGAAAGTAAAAATTATCCTTCTTTCCACCTTGCGCTTACAAATCATTATGGGAATATCCATTTATTAAAGCCTGAAACAAGCATGTCTGCGATGTTATCGTCATGCGATGATTTGTAGATACTTTATTTTGTATTACAATATTTTCGACGACGATGTTTTTAAACTGCGAAGTTTTTGAACCGCTTTATTTTCGACGACGATGTTTTGTACCACGATGTTTTAGAACTGCGATGTTTTCTGCCGCGATGTTTTGTAGCACGACGTATTCTCCTTGCGTTGTTTTCTCCGCGACGTTTTCGTCCGCGATATTTTCGCCGCGATGTTTTCGGCTGTAACCAGCTTCGCAACAGCAAAGATAACGCCGTCATTTATTATTGCGAATTAAACCATGCTTAATCCTTTCTAGAATTTTTTCGAGGAAACAAGTATTTAAGATTTACTTCGTAATTTTTAATAGAGTTATTTTGAGTGTTTATGTATTTTTGCCTTGTCGCGAAGTGAGTACTGAATTAATTGAATGAGAATAATAAATCGTCTGGGAAAACTGTTTCTTTTTTGTTTTATTTTCTTAATTTCTTTTATAAATCGTTTTAGACTTATTATAGTATTTGAATAGAACATGTGGCAACGATTAGATAATTCTTCAAGTGATAAAAATTTTGTGCATTCTGAGTTATAATATGAACGAAATATAACGCTGTTAATTGAACTTAGCGCCAGAGTCTCACTATGGTAAACAAATACAGTGAATTTTAAACAGTGCATTTATTCTACTGTGGTTTATGCGCCATCGAAGAAGTAGATTTAATTCAATCAAATGAGTTTAAATAAAATGCGTATAATTTAATATTCCGTACAAGTAAGTCATGTGGTGTACACATCAGATTTTTTTTCATTGTTCGGAAAAAAGTCATCGTTCATACTTTCAAACAAACTAAAAGACGGCCAAATTTTATTTGGAATGAACCTAAATTTCGAAATGTGAAAGGAAGAATCAAATAAGTTCATAAGGTATTTCTCCCGCCTTCTTAGCATGCGTTTGTTGCGTGATGGTCTGCACGCTGGGCGCGTATTCCAGAGGTCCATGGTTCGATTCCCGGAGAAGGCGTTGTGCATTTTTCATCTCTCATGCTTCCAAATAACCTAATTTCTCTACAAGTTTAATAAAAAAAAGTGATAGTAACAAATATATACCAACTTCATTTAACATTGAGGAGATAAAATTTTGAAAGCGAAGTTTTTAAAAACTTCGCTTTCAAAATTATGCTCTTTGCTTTCAAACTCAAATTATGCAGTGCGGCTTAATTTGAGTCGTAGAATCAATCGAAGTATGGAAAAAAATTGTCATGTCATTTCAGAAAAAGTCCGATTATGTGTCAAAAGACCTATATTATGTAGAACAATGCTATATGCAAATGTAATACATATCCTAAATCGCGCTTTCGGGACATAAAAAACGCAATTTGAATTTCGTCAATCGTCCCAGTAGAACAGGAGATAGATAGATGTCCCACTTTTTGTGTGCAGTTTACCTTGAGGTTTCTCGTTTGCACTGAGCATCCGTGAAATTATTCTTACAATTTTAGGATAACTTGAAATTCTGTTAGTCAAATAAATCATTAATATTTCCCTTTCATTATTTTTCGCATAAAGATTAGTTTTTCGCTTTTCTTTCCGATTTCTTTTAATTTAGAAACAGAAATACTAATAGCGCAGTTTTAATGAACATCGTACAATCTCTCTGGACCCTCCCATAATGAAGATTTTTAACAT